AACAAAGCTCTAATGTAAGCAATGTCGTTGGGCACCTCTGGTCCTACGTTTGCTTGCTGTCTGACAAGCATATATTTTGCAAGGGAACGCAACGTCATTAACTTTAAACCAAGGCCCCTTAGGGGCTCCCCTGGGGGGAGGGGCTGTTTATTCAGTATTTTTATTCAGTATATTTGTTATTGTAGTGTGTAGAATACTTAGTAGTAGGAGTTGTTAAAGAGAGACTGTAGGAAAATAGGTGGAAAAACTGCTATGCTAGGTGGTGGGAAAATAAATGCCGGGAACGGCAAACAAAGGAGGCACCTACGACTACTGTGCTCAACAAAGGAAAACTAAAAAAAGAACACAAACCACCCTCAAGCTCGAGAGGGCATACAGGTGAGTTCAGCTCACCAACCTCCCTTGAAATTGTCTTTTCCTTTGGATCTCGCTCTTTTCTTCTCTGTTGCCTGTTTCAGTGCTCTTTCCTTTATCTTTGCTTTTATTACTTTTTGTCTTTTGCTTTCGTTCCTTCTTTCTCTCTTTATACTCACCTGAAGTACTGTACCGGTTACCCCTCTACACAGGTGTAACACTGAGCTGCCATTTGTGCGAGCTTTTATGCAGCACTCCCCAGGTGCAACTGGTCAGCCCTGATTATCACTAGGGCTTCTGGGAGTTGGAGTTCTGGGAGCTGCGCCTAGCAGCTCTCCTGGCACGATGCCTAGGCCCCCTAGTGGCAGCTGGCGTCATGGCCTGACCCCTTACAGTAGTAATACTGTAGACCATTGGCTTGGTGCTAATGTGACATTATAGCGTTTTTCATAAAGGTACTAGAAGAAATTAGCATTATTGAGACAGATTAAGGTTACTTACGCACGATTTTCCTAAAAACCCACTGGGGCTACAGTGACGCCTCAGTGTTTGCACTAGAATTCCTGTACTGCTAATCAGAAAATTTCTGGTGAGAAAAATTGAACTGTCTCTGGTACAGACTACATGATTCAAACATGAGTTCGGGCTCGACGTCTGCTGTTGTGCCTCAACGACTCAAAAAATTCAAACAGTTATTGGAAAGTATGCCAGCAGATCTGTGAACATCGTCTGTGCCCTGCACCCTGTGCATTCCAGGCCAAAGAAGAAGGAAACTTGATTTACTTACAGCTTTAAAACTGAAATATACCCCAAAGGGATAAATGTTTGCTCATAAAAATGGAACGTATAGCAAATAGGATATATCTAAGCTTATCGCTTTCACAAGACAGCTGCTGTGTGGCTGCACGTCTTCCCCAACCCTGCAACCCACAGCCTCAACCACTCCACACTTCTTCAGCCTTAGTCCTGCCTGATGTTTACCATGGCTGATGCACTGATTTGGCTCCATCTCAGCTTTTTAAAAAATGAAGCTGCTGTGTAACTGTTACCTCTGTGTGGGGTTCTGCAGACCCGCCAGACCCACCACAATATCCTGAGGCGTGGGGCTAATTTTCAGTGTCGTGTGCAGGAGCGGGCGGTTAGTCAGCCCAGTACGGGCAGGAACGGGGCAACACATACGTGTAGAGAAATATATGATATATGAAATATATGAAAAATAAATGATAATCACTTGATGATTAGCACATTTCAATATTATCTAATAGTAAAACAACAAAAAGTAATAAACTCAGGCTAAGTAACTCTACGGCATCCAATCTCGTGAACAACACACAAACTGCGTTCTTGTAAGCTATGGAAACCGCTGAGCTTTCAGACAGTCAGAGCTGTGGAAAGTGCTGTAACACTAAAGCTAACCTCAGGCCACGATTTCACATTATACCCCACACTGGTAGAAATAAAGGTTCTGTGCAGGTATATTTTGTATTCATTAAGGTACAAACAGTGTAAATGTTCCCTCAAAGGTACAACAGGGGTTTTAAGGTCTGATTGTGAACCTTAAATAAGTTTTTCCAGGTGAAAATTCGTATTTGTACTTTTTCATAACCGAATGTTTTAAACAGAACAGTAAAATAAAAGCCTGGAGACGAGACGGGGTGTGTGGAGTCAGTACAGCTTAGAACATATCATTTCAGTGGATTATGGTTCAGTTATGTTCCCTGACTATAGGTACTGAGATGGACCCTTGAGGGTCCCACCCCAGTGACAAGAGGGGCTCCACTCCATTGACAGTGTATCACCTTTTTTTTCTGAGAGTGTATTCTGTAAGTGTCGAGGGGTGGGGCATTGTCCAAGTGAAGCTTTTTAAAATGTTGTTACTAAAGCAACCTCTTTTTTTGGTCATTTTCTTTAAAAAAAAAAAAAATATCTACTCACTTCCATTTTTTTCCACTCATTTAGAACATAAACACCAATCACAAACCAAAAATCCACTTCGGCTACAAATCACAGGAAAGGTTAACGTTCAGAAGAAATTGTGGATAACATGAAAGAATGTACCTCTCATCACATCCGGCATTTGCTTTTTAATGTTGTGACTGTATTTGGTTGCTAAATTTGACTAAAATGTGTGTATTTTTAAATCATATTGCTTTAAAAAAATGATGGCCTAAACTGAGAGGATCTTTAATTTAAAGGTCTTTATGTCCCTTCACACAGACTCAGATACAGTCAGCATCTTTCAGGTTGCTCTACTGTAGCAGACTGAGCCAGCGCCGCGTTTCTAATGTTCGAAACTGTTAAGAATGTTGAAATGTGAGGTAAACAAAGCAGGATACGAGTGATACGGCAAGATATTGTCAGCTTGTTATCTACCGCCAGTTGATTATATTTTATTTATAGAGCAATTTTCATACCGGTGGCAGCGCAAAGTGCTTTACAGACAGGTGATAATGTTTTACAGCTATTGACAAGTCAACGACAGATCAAGTTTAAAAGAAATAGCAAACAGACACAGAACTTCAACTGAACATTAAGTTAGAGAGATACGTTTAATAAATAATAAAAGCTGAACTGAGCTCCACAGTTTGGAAGCAGAATAACTGAAAGAGTCTCTCCACGTTTTCTGTGTTTTACTGAAGGTGTTTGTAGGTCAGTATCTGCAGATCTAAGATCATAAACAGACACTCTGTGATGTAAGCTGTGCTTTAGGGTCATTTAGAGCCTTAAAAACCAGCAGCAGAGCTTTAAAGTCTATCCTGAACGATCCAGGCAGTGCAGCTCTTTTAAAGCAGGACTGATCTGATCTCTCTGTTTAGTTTAATTTAGGATGCTGCTGCATTTTGTACGAGTGGTAAAGGATGTATTGTTTTCTTAGGGAGTCCAGTAAGAAGATCACTAAAGTGATCAACTCTGCTGTAACAAATGCATTAATATTAACATCACTTTGAGATAGTCTGATAGTTTGATAGTGATAGCTAGCTAGTTTAGTAGCAGATTTATTTCCTTTGCTAAAGCTAGAAAAAAGCTTTTACATCAAAGGTGTACTTCTGCGTGACAGCTACATATGTCTAACCCGGTTTACTCAGTGTCCAGTTTTAAATAATCACATAGCAACACATTCAATGTAACAACAAATGTAGCTTATCCTTAATACTAATAATTTGGATAAACCACTTATCGTAGATCAGGTGGTATGAGCAGGGCGTCCCACCAAAGTTAGAGTGAAACCTATACCACTGTAACTCTCAAACAATTCAACATTACCAAAAAAATCTTATTGTACCAATGCAGCAGTGGTGGACAGTAACGAAGTAAATGTAATTCATTACTGTACTTAAGTAGTTTTTTTCATGTATCTGTACTTTACTGACTTTTTACTTTCACTCCACTACATTTCAAAGTCAAATATCTGACTTTTTACTCCACTACATTTAGCAAAATCTGTCCTTCCTTTTGGTTTATGTGTGCATAAAAATGTAACGTCAAAACGAAAGAAGAGCGAAGCAAAAACACCAATCAGGGCACATCACACTTTGTTTTGAGCTTGTTTTGACCTGTTGGTCATACCGACCCAGTGCAGCACACGGTTCAACATCAGTGCAGCAGCATAAAACTTTGGGAGAGTCTATTCAACATAAATGATGAACTAACCTAACTTTGTGTAAACAGACCACAATATAGAAATATGTACTCATATGCAGTTGTGACTGACGTGTCTTTTTCTGAATTTATACAAACACATTTCATTTTATAGTAAATTAGTTTTGGCTAGTTTATGTTTATAAACAGAGACCTACAGATGCAGTTTAGTAAAGGAAACTCATTTGTGAATCTGAGTTTAAAGTTTTTATTAAACTTAAACTTGCAAATAAATCTTAAACTGAAACTTTGCTTGTTTGTAAAAAGTGATTTCAGAGCCACTCAGTTCTACCTGATGGAAACTGTTTGCCTTCAGTGTTTTGTGCTTTTGATCATTTTAATAGACATCAGCGTCACTAATTAATGACATTCCATTAAAAGACTGGTGTTATGAGAGGGACACTAGAATATTTTCACCTAAAATGAGTTAATGAAGCGAGTCTTGTTATAAATATTATAATAGGACATCAGAGCCATAATTAATCTTTTAGTACTTTCACTTTTGATACTTAAGTACATTTGAAGGCAAATACTTTAGTACTTTTACTCAAGTGGAGGTCTGAAGGGAGGAACTTCTACTTTTACTGGAGTAATATTTAACCTGGGTATCTCTACTTTAACTGCAGTACAGGATTTGTGCATTTCGTCCACCACTGCAGTGCAGTATTACCAGTACTGTCAACCCGGACTTAAGTTCTTTTACTGTTGTGACACAATGCTGATGTGTCCTATCAGGAATCCTTGATTCCAACCTTTAGAACAGTAGTGTACAATGGCTGACAGGAGCTGTGCTTAAGGTGTGGGAAGGACAGACTGCTCCTAAATGTGCCATGTCAGGGCCTGCTGATGTACCATTGTGTAGAGTTCTGTTTCAGCCCTAATCTAAACACGTCTGATCCAATTAATCCATCATCAGGTGTTTTGGAGCTCTCACCAAACCAGGACGTGGGCACCTCTCCACTAATGGGGCTCTGGTAGCTAAGTGTGGGTCAGGCAGATGTTCGTACCATGGTAGATGGTGCTGCTGTTGCTGCTTAGGTAGGACTCTACAAGCGGAGCCTGCTCCTCAGACTGCCTGGTCCTCCGGGTCCGTGAGCGCCCCTCCAGATTTGACTGCACCATCAGTGGCTCCTGTCGTTTCTTCTTCTGCTTCTGCTCCAAGAGAGCTCGCTGCAACACACGCACACAATATTACATAAGCTTACATTTCTGTAGAAAACATAAATGGCTGCTTAAAATACCATCTGGGCTTCCAAGCTTTCTTACAACACTGCACCTACAAAACAGCACCATTTATAAACCAGCAAGTCTCATTATTTTCAGCCGATGCAATAAATAGACAAGGATTTGCATGAAAGGAGACTAAAGTGACCTCTGAGTGGACCATGGAAAAGTCTCAGTCAATCTTGCTAATAGGCATCAAGCAAAGAAAAACAACCTCATAGGCGGAGTTTGGGAGGGAGTAAGGGGTGCGCTGAGCAGGGGGTGCACTCTGTCATTATGGGGAAATAATGTAAAGCGATTATTTTCCTATAACACTGGCAGCTTGGATTGTATTACTGCTTTGACAAATGCATCTGTTCTTCTTTCAAGCCCCCCCATATTTCAGTTCCGTTTTCACTCTGTATTCATTCATCTAGCCTACAATTCCTAGCTAAATACAATGAATGAAATACAATGGATATGTAATTTCTTTGCTAAAGGTAAAACCTCAGATACAGAAGAAACTGTCATCTCTGTTCTAGAGAGATACCCTGTATGTCCAAAATTGTGTTTCTGGGTCATCCTACAGAAACGTCCACTTTTCTGTCCCTAGCGTTTACAGATATATTACACTTAAAAACCATGTTAGGGTTACAATTTATTTATATTTTATAATAAAGCAATAAGTTATTTTAACAATGACACCTTCTTGAGCCTCAATTTAGCAACATTGGTTTTAAATCTATTATCTAGAATTCCAAGCACCACAGAAGAGCTCGTCCCCACAGTCATGTGTGAAGGCTGAGGCCATATTTTGAGGTAAAAAACATGTTTTTCTGCCATTTTAACTACAATAATCTATACATGACTATGGAATATATAAATTAAAACAATTAAAACAAATGGCAAAAAAATATTATAAAATATATAATTAGAGTTGTTGTCCCCAGGAGTCGTGTCACTAGTGTTACTGCGTAACAAAAAATCTCTTATTTTGAAATAAAAGTCACACTGATGACATCACTTGACTTCCTTTTACCTGTTTTCTGAGGATCTATGAAGAAAAGCTCATGGTGAGTCCACTGTGTCTTTCAGTTATCAGAGATTTTCTCATTTCAGCTCATGATTTCATATGAAGCTTTTAGCTGAAGTCACTGGTGTGACCGACTTTATTCTGAGGTAACTGTGAAAAAATAGAATACAAATTAAATTAAATTTAGATTAAATTCCATATTTTAGTGGATATTCCATGATTGACAACATGTGGTTTGATGCTCTGTGGCAGTTATTTTGTAAAATTCGTTAAAATGTCTCTGGTGTTCCTTTATTATGTGTAACACCAATGAGGATCAGTAACACCAGTGACTCCTATGGACAGATAGAAAAGTGGACGTTTCTGTAGAATGACCCAGATACCTCCTTATCTAACATTGTCCAAAATCAAGGGTTTTAAAAGGGCTTTTGTCCCATTTTGGTGCCGTTACAGGTTCTACTCTTCTCAGAAGGCTTTACACTGTAAACCCTGACAAGTACAGTTTACTCAAACCATATGTTGCATCACCATATTGCTGGACGATTTGATGATGTTTATAAAAATGGAAGTGGACGCTTCGACAGAAGTGTGTTGGTACTGGTACAGTAATCTTGATGAGGCTAACAAACACAGCACAGGTATACATGACACAAACTCTACTGTTGCAGAAACCTGAGCTTTTAAGTTAAAATAAGTAACTACTACATTGTTTAATTCGTTCATTTTCACATCACTGACGTAATTATAATGATTAGAAGCTGAAATGTACCAAAAAAAAAAAAGTTACATACTCTTCTGCCAACCTTGAGAAAAACTACTGATTAGCAGTGATTAAAGCTTCATTGTTATAACCAAACTGAACACACTCATGGTTAGAATACCTAAAACCTGTAAAATGCATTCAAAGTTATATTTATAGATATGAATGTGTTGTTTGTTTGAAAACAACATCAAGGAAAAATAAGAGCTAATAAACAGAAATCAACTAGCTGGCTAGGAATTCTGGGTGACTCAGCTCCGAACTCTCTCATTACTCATGAGTTTGTTCTTCTCACAAAAATAGTACACCTGAATTATTAATCAGACGGTACGAACAACTGGCCTGGATTGAGTGATAACAAATTGCAAGAAAGAAAGTAATTATAACTTGATTATTTAAGGACAAATAATGTCAGGGCTTTCAGTGCAGTTTATACAAAACGTGGGCCAAAGCTGGACCCACTTTACACTCTTTATGCAGCGGAATTCTGTAACTTTTCCATGAAATTTCAAGACCAAACATTTACCATTGTGCTGGGTGACACATCCACCTACACTGTTGAAAACGAAGGTCAGCTCAACTTGAAATGTTAAGACTGTTTACCCCATTTTACCCTGTTCTTCCATGGTGAGGACCCCCACAGGACCACTGCAACGCAGGTATTATTTGAGTAGTAGATCATTCTCAGCACTGCAGTGACACTGACATGCTGGAGACATGTTAGTGTGTGTTGTGCTGGTGCAAGTGGATCAGACACAACAGTGCTGCTGGATTTTTAAACACTGTGTCCCCAGGACGCTGTTGGCTGCATATTTTTGGTTGGTGGACTATTCTCAGTCCAGCAGCAACACTGAGGTGTTTAAAGACTCCAGCAGCACTGCTGTGTCTGATCCACTCACACCAGCACAACACAAACTAACACACCACTGTCACATCGGTGTCACTGCAGTGCTGAGAATGAAATAATACCCGCTCTGTGGTGGTCCAGTGGGGGTAAAAGGGGGCTAGCAAAGCATGAAGGTAGACTTTTGTGTATGTATATTATATATATATATATATATATATATATATATATATATATATATATATATATATATATATATAGTAGAGATCTACACACAAGCAGTCAAGTGTGTATCAGTGCAGGATTTTGACTATTGTGTTACTGCTTCCTCATACACGGCACATAAGCTCCCACTTTATCCATGAGCATTGTAATAATCGCAAGCTGTAATTAACCTCACAGCGGCTGCATAGGAATCACTTCAGGGAACAGAACAGAAACCCATTGTAAAGTACGTTGCTAAGAAATATTATATAAGGACTCTCATTAAATTTCCCTTTGACAGTGTAATTTGCGCAGTCTCCACTGCAGGTCCCCTCAAAACATCTACTAGTCTCTAACTTGTGCGTGTGCTTCATCAAAGTCCATGTCCCAGTCCCTGTGCTCATCCAAGTCATTTCAAGTCATCCGTTATCCCACTTTCTGCTAATTACTTTTGCTCCCTGACGAAGAATTCCAGTTCTGCAGCCACACGAGCTTGAAGTGAAACATAAAAAAGGTCTCTAATTTCCTGTGTAAGACTCTCCGGGGGGAGTTAAAGTGTGAGTGGGGCAACATGCACAACAACATGACTTTGAAACAGGCTACCTTTGAACATGTGCATCACTAAGGCTGAGGCAAAATCAGCTTTGCACTGAGAGATGCTGCAGCCTTTGCTTCCTTGATAAAACATTCAGAGCCCCAGAAGGCAAAGCACACCACCACAGCAACTCTCCATTTTGGGTCGCTCCCACTCAGCCTGCTTTGCCTTTGCAGTGCCATACATTACGTAAGCTTTCAGAAATGGAGGGACATCCCAGCACACAAGTCTATAAAATATTGAGGGAGTCCCTGGCAGCGCTGGAGAGTGAACTATGTGCATATTCTGCTAAGGTAAATGCTAAAGCAGTCAAGCAGAAAGGCTTCACCCAAACTGCCCTCTAACTAAACCCTGCCAGAGTGTGCACAGGGGAAATCTTCCTACTCTTACACCAGGACTGCAGCCAGCCGTGCAGCAGCCTGAGGAATTATACATGATGTGACAAACAAGACTCCTCATGTGTGTTTCAACAGGCACCTGCATGTGCTACGCAAGCGAATACCAGAACTTCCATGGGCTTACTATGTGGTATTATATGCAAAGGGCATAAAAGCCAAGCCGTATAAAGGATAAACAGAGATGGTTATACCAAAAATCAAATGTAGACAATTATCCAACACATTTGGTATCTAAAGTTGGCTGCTTTATTTTTGCATTGCAGCTACAAGGCTAATTCTATAGTCTCTGGGGTCGGCATCATATTAGAAACTCAGAAGGGGAAAAAATGAATGCAATTTTCAAAAATCGCACTAATCACACCCAGTGGTAGACCATGCAAACTCAGAGTGGGACCACCGAGTGCTGAAGCGTATGGTGGTAAAAATATATCCTATAAAAAAGCCTATCCTATAAAATAAATCATGCTGCCACTGGACTGGAGCAGTAGATACGTGTTCTCCGAAGTAATGAATCACATAGTTTCACTATCTGGCAGGCCAATGGATGAATTTGGGTTTGACGGATGTCAGAAGAACGCTACCTACCAGAATACATATTGCCAATAGTAAAGTTTGGCTGAGGAGGGATTATGGTCTGGGCTGTTTTACAGGGCCTTAGTTCCAGTTAAATGTTAATGCTACTGCATACAAAGACATGTTATACAACTATACGCTTCCAACATTGTGGCAACAGTCCGGGGAATGACCTTCCTGTTCCAGCACGACTGTGCCTCAGCGCACAAATCGAGGTCCATAAAGACACAGTTTGACGAGTCTGGTGTGGAGGAACTCTTGTGGCCTCTTGTAGTTCCCTGACCTCAACTCCACTCAACACCTTGGGGATTAATTGGAATGTTGATTCCAAGACAGGCCTTCTCAACCAACCTCAGTGCCTGAACTCACACAATGCTCTTTTGACTGAGCACAAATTCAAAATTCACTCCAAAATGTTGTGTTAAAGGCTGTTATCGCCTCCAATGATGGGGGGTTGGGGGAGTAGGGGGGTTGGGACAACTCTGTATTGCATGGTTTTTAATGAGATGTCCAACAAGGTAATTTAGGTGATGGGTCAGCTGTCCTCATACCTTTCCCATGCAATGCCCATATTAGAAACTCCAGGTCTGGTTAACTCTACTAAAGGCATTTTTGAAAATTTCCCTTCCTTGCACAGACGCACTTCACCCACACACAGCATACACACACTGAGCTGTATACTAGTGAGCTTTCTCTGTCCTAAGTGCCTCTTACTGAACACCTTCTCCAACTGAACTAATTGTGAAGTACTAACACCGTGCACTATTAGCTGGGAAAGTGCACTTGTGCTGCTTATTGAAATGCAAAGGTGGAAGACTCTTAAGGATGGAGACACATAGGCTGGTTGAGGTGATGCATCCCAACCACTGCCTTGAGAGTCATTCCACAAAAGCAGACAGACAATCAACATGGTAATATGGCTTTATGCTCCTCTGAGGTTCTTCAGAGGGAGGCGAGGGCTGTGGGCTGTATTGACTGCTTTGGCCTGAAATATGGAGCAACATGTGCTCATCTCTCCCACCGCCCACTTCATCCATGAGTGTTTGCAGCCTTGTTTCGGCTAGAACTCAGTGCAGTAGAGAAGACTGTTTTGAGCTGATGTCCTCCAGACTCCCCCACAGCAGCTGATGTCCTCCAGACTCCCCCACAGAAAGCCTGATGGATTCTCTTGTTCTCCACCACCTGCAGTTTGACTAATCTTTTGGAGCTGCAGTGCTACAACAAAAATAGTAGGAATACACAGATACAGAATCTCAGCTGACAACGATAAACAATAACTTTATCAAAAAAATGACAATGTAACTGGATTGTTTACTCAGCCAAATTCGTGCTCCAAAACAGGTTAAAGGCCAAAGTACCTTATTAAAACAGATCAGGCGTTACATTCTGACCACCTCCTTGTTTCTACGCTCATTGTCCATTTTATCAGCTCCACTTACTGTATAGGTGCACTTTGTAGTTCTACAGTTACAGACTGTAGTCCATCTGTTTCTCTGATACTTTGTTAGCCCCCTTTTACCCTGTTCTTCAGTGGTCAGGACCCCCATGGACCCTCACAGAGCAGGTACTATTTGGGTGGTGGATCATTCTCAGCACTGCAGTAACACTGATGTGGTGGTGGTGTTAGTGTGTGTAGTGCTGGTATGAGTGGATCAGACACAGCAGTGCTGCTGGAGTTTTTACACACTGTGTCCACTCACTGTCCACTCTATTAGACACTCCTACCTTGTTAGTCCATCTTGTAGATGTAAAGTCCGAGACGATAGCTCATCTGCTGCTGCACAGTTTGTGTTGGTCATCCTCTAGTCCTTCATCAGTGGTCACAAGACCCTGTTGGCTGGATATTTTTGGTTGGTGGACTATTCCCAGTCCAGCAGTGACATTGAGGTGTTTAAAAACCTCAGCAGTACTGCTGTGTCTGTGTCTGCATTAGTAGTGAAGCAAATAAAGTAGGCAAATGAAAGACAGTAGAAGGTCTATTCACGCCTAAACTACTGGCCGCAGAGGAACTGCCTGACCTGCACTTTGGGTAGTCGCTTCACTGATCTTCTGTTTGTGGGGTTGTAGTGTTGTCCACTATGCTATCCACATCTGTGGTTTAAGAAAAAGATTAAGAAAAACAAAACTGCCCACCAGTGACACAACGCACACGATGAACATATTGAAATAGCCTCTCCGAATCACCACCGTCTGTACAATGACGCTTCTCTCTGTAGAAGTATGTAGATCTGAAGCACTGTAGAAAAAAAATGCATCTATTCTGTTCTTCTGAAAAAAAGGCTCCTTACAGCTGTTTACGATGCCAGCATATGTGACTGAGGATCTTACCAGCTCCAACAGCTAAAATAATTCATTCATAGAGTTTGTCTAGTCAATAACTGCCAACACTTTGAGAGCGCACTGAAAGATTTTAATTGTAGCGCATCTTCAAAAGGAGGAATCCCTGTCAAGGTCTTCTGGGTTTTGGGGCAGCCTTCACAAACAAAGGAGCACAGTATTAGTGCTGTTATTATTACGCCGTCTCCTACACGGCTTCGCAACAAAAAGGCTCTTCAAAGGAGTCTTCCAAAAACTCAAGCGTGCAGAACCCTACCAATGAAAGAACCCTTAAGGCACTTTCATATCCGTCCATTTGATCTGTTTCTGTATGTTTGGGGCTGCTGACACGAGTGTGGGTTTACAGCATGTGTTGCAATTGTTGCAGCTATGCGGAACACTATTCCTCACTAACAACTGACTGAAGCTAACGTTATTTGGAATGTGCTTCTTGCAAATCCAGCCCTCACATCGTTTATTACGAAAGCAAACTGACACCATTCTTTGAAATATTCTCCAGTGCACATCCTGGGAACACCTTTAGACTGTCTTTTCACAGAGTGTTCAGTTTTCTCCTGGGAAATAAAGCCTGGAAATAATCAATGGTTTGTTAAAGGCAACTTATCCTTGGCATGCAGTGCACCATTCCACATAACTACAACTACAAACTACTCTATGCCACCATTTAACCATTTATAATGGAAGTAAAGTGACCAGATGGCAGGGTCCACTGCTGCAATGCAGTGACTAGTCTTTAGTAGCTTTTTTACCCACCTTGTATTCCACTTTCAATGCTCGCAGCAGCTTTAATTAATAATTTATTATCATTGTGCTGCTCTCAACAATATGACACTATAGAAGCAACCAAGGAAATATAACACCAGGCTGATAATATGAGCTATTCAGTCTCCATCAAACAACACACCCACCAACAGTGCCGGTGACTGAAGGGTGACTTGAGAGCCGAACACCTGTTGCAGGCCATTAGCGCGCCGCTTCTTTTCAGATCCTATTCGGAGACGTTTTTGTAGAACTGACAGATCATTCTGAGAAGAGCAAACAGCCACAGTAACTCATCAGAGGCATGTAATTAATTAACTGGTGGTGCCTTCAAGCTGGTGATTAAGTGTGAAGTGACTGGATAGTGAATGTATAGTAATGTCTGTCTAACAGCTGCAGCTGAAAGTGCAACCATCTTTTTTTGCAAGCTTTCTTTGATTCTCACAAACAGACACATCAATCTTTTTTTAAGTGGTGATTCTGTGTTGCTTTGGAACGTTAGAATTAATTCTAATAATATACAATACACTTTATGACCAAAATAAAATGTCTCAAATGAGAAAATCCAAAACAATAATATAATGTGGTGCACAGTTTTACCGTGTATATTCCACTAGTGGGTAAATAGTTCTAGTCAAATCTGTGAATTTAGTGAATTTTTGAAAAAAACAAGACTAGTTAAGCCTAGCTTTGCTTTACACAAGTCAGTCTTCCGCCTATCAGCAGAGAGTCTGGTGCTTTTCACTGCAAAATATGACCAAAACCCACCTTACCTTGTCAGATGCCACTTTACTGACATGCAAAAGCGTAGTGTAGAGGGAGGTGACTGTGACAGATATATTAGCTATACAGATATATACAGGTATATACAGATATATACAGTGGGGTCCAAAAGTATAATACCACTAGTAAAAACACCTCTATTTAACATTCTTTGCTAGCTTAATACAGTGTTTTTCATTACAAATTATATATATATATATATATATATATGTATATATATATATATATATATATATATATATATATAATATATATTTTTTTTTTTTTTTTTTTGTTTTTTTTTACACTGATCGGGCACAACTTCCTGGTTATACATCTATATACATATTATATATAATATAATACTTATAAAATCTCCAAATGGAGAAGGAAAAAACTGTAATATACTGTTTACATTCATGTAAAGTTAGTCTAAACTAACAACAAAGGAATAACCTAGAAAGGTATACAGAGATCAACACTAAATAGAATTTAACTAGAGGACATTCCTGCTGACAGGACTAGAAGTTACAGAGTGATATGAAAATCTTCTTTAAAAAATTTGCTTGAATAAATAGATTAAATAATAGACAACATTTATATATAAAACCTACTGTTAATGCCACATTTCAGGAGTGAAAACAGGACAGCAGATGCAAAAGACAGGAGTAACAAAAAACTGCCACCGACTTAAAAATAAACAATCCAATGTATGACTAAACCTAAACAGTGAAAGGATGCTTGGAACATAGAATCCAATGACTAGAACTGTAGTTTCTTTAAATTCCCATAACAAGAGCTTTCGCTCGTGAGACCCTATGACGTGTTTCAGTGAACGCATTTTCTTCAACGTATAGTGTCTATAATTGGTCCAGTGCGGATGTGTGTTTCAACGAAGGGTATCGGGGACAGGAGATGTCAGCCAGGGACTCACTAAGAGACAGCAACTCACTAAAATTCCAAACCACACCAAAAAGGTTGAATCTGAGATTTCATGTCGCACTGAATTGTATCCTATAGAACTGTGGGGTTTACAGAGCTTGACTCACACTGCCGTCTCTCACGCTCACAGAAACTAATGTATAATTCTCTCCTTCAGCCGCTGAGTGCACAGTCAACAGTTTATGGCCACCAGAACAGCAGGTCGTGTCCCCAGATAGGGGTAAGCTGGGAAACAGCTCAGCAGTTAAAAGCAGGCAGCACTCACCTGCCTATCCAGCTTCTGCTGCCGCAGGTTACTGCCCTCATCATCCAAGGTGCTGCAGAGAGAGAGAGAAGAAAAAAAAACAAGAACAGTTCATTTAAGTACACGACAGAACACAGGCACAGGCAGTCGAGACGGATCAAATACTTTAGAAAAACGAGACAGCCTTGCTTTCAATGTTAAACGTGATCATAAAAATCATACCGATCATTTGTAAGCTTTGTAATCCTGTAACAGACCTACAGTAAAACATAATGCAGCACACAGAGATGGCAGGAGCATCATCCCTTCAACAAATGTGCTGGAGGGGTCGTCTCCGGAGAGCCTAAATTTCTACCAACAGGAAAACGACTCGGGGCTGTTTTGCTGCGTTCTCTGGGGAGTGATCTAAAGCTCTTTAGATGAAGTAGTAGGTGCGAAAATAACACTCCACTTTGCCTTGAAGGAGTGATGGGGCTACTGCACCAGGCACTGAAAGGCAAGAGACATACTGACAGCACAAGAAATCGATGTCCGTGGGTATACGTGACTTCCTAGCTTCAAAAAGCACTGTCGCTTTTCTATGGTAAAAATGCCTCAACCTGAAGGTGGTGATTCTGCACTGTTTTAGAACGTTATGATCAATCTAATAATATTCTGATAATACTGAATATATTATGTGCTCATTTTTGACCAAAGGAAATTACTTTTAAACGTAAAAAAAGTGTATATTCTATTATTGTGTAAATTCTATGTTAAAATCGTTCATCAGTCACATCTGTTTATTGAGTTATCCACTATGCTAAGCAACCAGCTCCCAGTTGGTAAAGGAGAGCCGATAAATCTGCCTTTATGAAAGATTTGTTTGATAATTCAATTTGTTTTATAATTCTGACGTGCTGTTATTGCGATGTCATGAATGCATATACAAAGATAGATTTAGCTAGCTCTCTAGTTAGGTATGAATTAGCATGACATCAGACTCTCTAAACATTACTAGCACAATAACTGACTCGAAGATGATTTCTACACAGGCGCTCACAAACATATCTACAGTTACACATCATAACATCATAAAAATTGTGTAAAAATATGAGCAAAAACCACTCATTCTGTAGCTGATAGCATACATGCTAATATTGCTAGTGTTATAATTTCTAAGCTAGTTAATGTTATATTGGTGAACTTAGTCATTCTAGATGATTTAAAGTGATTAAGTGATGAAAATGGCAACTTTATAGGAGATGAGAGGGATATATGTAAACTTAATATGCATTGATGTAACAAGAGTAGTCCATCTGAAGTGTTTACACAGTGTAAGGAGTAACTAAGTTAAAGTTTTCATATGATGACAATTAGAGCGTCTATGAGCACATATTCAGGAGTGAAAGTGACACCACATTAAGTCAGAGTGCAATATTTACACTTCCATTCAAGAGTTTATAATCACTTACTGTATTATCAGATTGTTATTAGAATATTTAATACAACATAGACTTAGTATTATATATATATATATATATATATATATATATATATTTTTTTTTATTTTTTTTATGTATTTATTTATTTATTTATTATTTTTTCCACACACACACACACACACACACACACACACACACACACACACACACACACACTTTCTAAGCCATGAGAGCTGGGGATCCTATCCCAGGATCATTGGGTAGAACACAGGAAACACCCCGGACAGGTCATATATATATATATATATATATATATATATATATATATATATATATATATAGCAAGAAATATTTGGACAGAGAAGTTATTACATGAACACTGTAATTATCAATTTATATTGATTGCAAACTTCTGAATAGTAGTGCATAACATCCAGAATGTGGTGAACCTGTGCTCTGATACTAAGGGTCAAGGAGAAACTGAGCACAGAGCGAAGGTAATTAGTTCCTTAATGAAGTGAGTGTCCTTTATTAACTGTTGAAGAGGCCTGGACACTCCTCGTTAGTTGTGTAATGGAGTTAGTTTCAGTTTGACAGAGTTTACTTGCCGTCTGCAGCGGGTTATTAGTAGTCTCCTGTGATTAGCATGTAGCTATTAGCATTTTGTATGGCTAAGTAATGCTGTGAACTTTTTGTTGGCTGCTTTTGATTTTATAATAGGTTATGTTCTTACAATGACCACAGCGTGTGCTGCCTTTGTGTTCACAAATGAAGAAAGTTCACTCCTCTGCCACACCTCTGCGCTTTGAACAGCAGCCCAGAATGGACCACAACTGTAATACAGTCCTTCGAAACTTTCATTTTTATTGATTATTTTATTCATGATTATAAAAAAAAACTTAAGGCAAGTTTTCCTGCCGTTGTTTATTTTCAGAAGAATTAGTTATTTTAAAAACAAATTTTAAGGTAAATATTGCCAAAATAACTGCTGTACACCTGGTGTTTGGTAAAGCTGCTACCAATGTCCAGCCCCAGTGATGATTTAGGGCACCTTCACACCTTTGGTACGGACCTATCAAACTTTTTCTATACATCAATCCATTTTAACTGGTGTTTAACATTTAACAGGCTCGGATCTGCACCAAACAACAGAACCATGGTTTAGTCCGCTGCTGTTGGGAACACATTTTTATGATCGTCCACACCAAAAAAGGGAATTTAACACTTAAAGGCATCCTTTTCTCAGGGCACATCAGCACTGTATTGTCTGCATAAACTGCCTTTTTGGAGATTTGACTCATCAGACTCTCATAATCTTTTGCAGCACAAACTGCCGCTGATAACAGCAGATGAGCCACAGCAAAACGTGATTTTGTCACGTGGACTATGGAAATCATTTTTTGATAGGTTGGCCTGATTGGTTGAATTCAAACTGATGCATAATGTAACCAATCGATCATAAAGTCGTTGTGATTAAGGTTTATTTTTATTACTCTTATTACAAATGAATTAGACGTTAAGCATCTTTACTTTCATGCAACATAACAGGTATGATAAAACATCTTATCAAGCATATAAGCTAGTGAAAGTTAAGAGAAACAAAAGCCTGTTTAGTGGGGTAAATGTGAAAGTAACAGAGCGCTCGTATCCCGGTCGCATTTATGACCAATCAAAAAACGCCAAGAACACCCACGAGTACAATTTGGTGCACTTCATCCATTGCAGTGTGAAACCAACCGAAACAAATGTAAAAGATTTGTCAGAAAAGCCAAAACACTGACTTCAGCACATTAGCTAGCTGTGAAAACAGTGTACAAGTCCTTGATACTGTGTTTCAAAGACATAGTGATTAAAGTGCTAAACATGTGCTTCTGTACTACTAAATATGTAAACTAATATGCAAAATCAATAGGTAAAGTCTACAACATAGACTTCACAAGTAAGGATAAAAAGCTTCTATAGGCCCCTCAGGGATACAGCGGGGTCTTTCATTAGAACTACAAACACAAAAAGCATGCCTGTTACATAATTCTGCTGTGGGTATAGCAGCTCGAACATTAACATGTAAATCCTTCTGAAGGGCCTCCATCACTCCTTTATTCCCTGAAAGCACATTGTGCACAGAGCAGTGAACAATGTACCATGGATAAATATCAAAGTCCTGGAGAGGGATGGAAGCAGTGGCTGTGGAGATGGAGAGGAGGTGCTACTGTGTTAATGATGTGAGTCACTGAGCTACTGCGTGTTCTCTTTCAGGTCCTGTGAGAGCTGATGACCTTTGTGAGGCCTTTGAGCTGTCGCTAGTCCCCCTTCGCCTCTTTCTAATCAGCGCTGACACTCACTCACTGCAGCCCCACGCTCGCTCCGCACTAAGACTAAAGATATAGCAGCAGGAAAATCCCTAATTAAAAAGTCATTCAGGGCTTGTTTCGTGAGTGTGAGAGACGGTAGGAGGGGGCAGGAGCAGGAGAGAAAGGTGTCAAAATGGTATTGCGATTAGGTGTGTTGGTGTGTAAGAAGGGCCGCATTCAAGTACTCTGTGTGGCCAAAAGTATGTGGACACCTAACCATTACAGAGCTTGATGGAGATCTCACTCCAAAACCATGGGCGTTGCTATGGAGTTGCTTCTCTTTGCAGCTGTAACAGCCTCTACACGTCTGAGAAGGTTTTCCACAAGATTTTGGAGCGAGTTTGTGGGAATTTGTGCCCATTCAGTCGGAGAAGCGTTTGTAAGGTCAGGCACTGATGTTTGACAAGAAGGCCTGGCATGCAATCAGCTTTCTAATTCATCATTAATGGTGTGCAGTGAGGTTGAGGTCAGGTCTCTGTGCAGGCCAATGGAGTTCCTCCACACCACTTTTGTGCACAGAGGCACAGTTGAGCTGGAACAGGAAAAGCTCTTCCCCAAACTGCTGCCAAAGTTGGAAGCATATAATTGTCTGAAAATGTTGTATGTATGCTCCACTTCACTGGAACTACGTGGCCAATGCCAAAATTTGAAAAACAGCTCCAGCCCCTCATACCTCCTCCACCAAACTTTACTATTGGCACTATGCATGTTGGCATGTAACGTTCTCCTGGCATCCACCAAACCCTGATTCCCCATCACACTGCCACATAGTGTGATTCATCACTCCAGAGAACACGTTTCCACTGCTCCAGAGTCCAGCGGCGGCGGTTCACACTACTCCAGGCGGCGCTTGGCATTGCACATAGTGGTCTGATCTTAGACTTGTGTGCAACTGCTAGGCCACCAAAACCCATTTCATGAAGGCCCCAATGCACAGTGGTAGAGGCAGTTTGGAACTCTGTAGTGAGTGAGGCAACAAAGGATAAATGATTTTTACCGCTCCACACTTCAGCACTAGCTCTGTGATTCTGCGTGATCTAGGGGTGACCATATTGTATTGATAATAAAATGATGTCACAATATGCTTTTTTGGGTATATTGTGGATATCGTCAGTAAAGAGCCCTGACTAACTACATGTTTCTTTACAAAGTGAGCATAATTAGGCCTGTTTAACTGAATTTAGTGGAATGCAGTTTGTAAAACATTAAATAAAAATCACTGTAGTTATTATTATTATTATTATTATTATTATTAGTAGTAGTAGTAGTAGTAGTAGTAGTAGTAGAGTCATTTTTATATA